CAATCTTCTTGACTTGTCACAAACATATTATAAAGACAACATGAATTGTGCCCAATCCTGCTTTTGATATTATAGCAAATAGAAAAGAAAATCACTCTTTGTCCTATCATATCCTACCTTTTCTTAAGCCTGATTGATCTAGCAAATCCCTGATGTTGGTTTTGTAGCTTTAACTACTTATCATATTTTATGTGAACTGGACCTTTTATGTGAAGTTATTAGGTGGTGGCTTTTATTATGTTCATCCAATAGTTTGTTGAATATCTATTCACAGAGAGAAGAAGAGCTACTATCTAGTTGGTGGAAAGAGTATGCTGAATGCAGTGAAGGTCCAAGAGGACAAAGTAGTTCCGGAAAGAAGTTGGACATGGGAGAGGATTCATCTTCTTCAAAGGCTTCTCAATCAGCCCAACTATGTGCAGTTGAAGAAGAGAGGGTTGGTGTCCCTGTAAAGGGAGGGCTCTACGAGGTATCTCATTCTTATCCAAGTTTCTACTTTTCCCAAGTAGTCAGATCTTTGTATGTCATAGTTTGGAGCAAAAGATGTATTATCCTTCAGTGCAAGTCATCTATCTAGCAAGATGGAGGATCTTTTGCCATAGTCATTAGTCTTTCTTAAGATAACCAAGTACTCTTTATATGCCAAAATTTTAAATAATTTGTTGAAAAACTGGGCCTTCATTCATTCTTTTAAGGCATTTGACTTATTGCTTTTTTATTGGTTGGTTGTAATTAAGTTTGGCCTCATACTTAGGACTGAACTCAATAATAAAGTCTGCCATTCCTACTACTTTTTGTGTTTAAATACGTTGTCCTCTGCATTTATAACATCTTTCTCCTTCTCTCTTCTTTAGTTTTTTGCCAAGGTTTTGGTAATAATAGCAATGCCAATGGATCGTGAACCTTCTTATTTTCCTTTGCATGTGCGTGCTTGTGTGTCTTTTTTTCTTTCTTTTTTGGTATTTATCCGGGTGTCTGGCCATGCTTGCTCATTGTGTGTGTTTATGTGTGTTTGCATGCATATTGTTGGATGTTAGGATTATCAATTGTTGTGTCTTTTCAAAAGTATGTTAGACTGTGTTTGAAATTACATAACTGGATATAGAGGTAGGCAGGATCGTGCATACATGAGTTCAAGTAGTGTTCATCTTTAAGCCATTTTATTGCCAGGTGCAAATGATCTTTGGCTTTGTATGTATTTTTTTTTTCTGAAAAAATGCTTTGTATGTATTAATTGTATTCTTTGATATATTGCTGTATGTTTTTACATGGATGGTACTCCATATTTGGAAGATTTGGAATGTTGTTTGAATATGTATGGTATGCCTTCTAAGTTACCATGTCATCCACTTTTACTATCTTTTGCATGAGGATGAGGCTGTGTCTCATCCTTCAGTCCATATTGTCACATCTATTATTTGGTCATGTGCTAGAGTGACATATTCTATAATTGAGAATTTTAAAAATAATTTTCTGGTTGATATCAAGCAGTAAGTTTTGTTTCCTGAGATCAGGGATTGCCTGTTATAACTGAGGTGATTTAACTAACGCAGGTCGACTTAGTTAACAGACACTGTTTCCCTGTTTACTGGAATGGAGAAAATCGGCGTGTTCTAAGAGGTCATTGGTTTGCTCGTAAAGGGGGCATGGATTGGCTTCCACTTCGTGAAGATGTAGCTGAACAATTAGAGATGGCATATCGTAGCCAGGTTTGCCTCAATATTATCAACATTGATGTTATAAGATTCTATTTCATCCCAATATATTTTAATTTACCTGTTTTTTCATTGTCTATCCCAATATAGATCCTAAATTCTGCAAAAATGCTGGAGACCTTGTTTCCTGTTAAACCCGTAGAATTTGAGGGCCATGTGATGGCTTTCCAGTTATTGTCATCTTTATTTTCTTATTTGTGCTTGTTTTAACCTGTTCATTCTTGTTCTTCTGTCTAATTGAACTTAGGCATAAGAATGCATCTTTATAGTTTTTAGTTTTTTTAATATAATTGAAAACACTGATGAAGCTGGACTTGTTTACAGGTTTGGCACCGTAGAACATTTCAGGCATCAGGGCTCTTTGCAGCTAGAGTTGATTTGCAAGGCTCTACCCCAGTATGTATATAATTATCTGGAAAGGGGCATTCTATTCACTCAAATCATAATATAGTGTCTAAGGACATGAGGTGCAACACTGAGTGCAGGGACTTCATGCACTTTTTACTGGAGAAGATGATACTTGGGAGGCTTGGCTCAATGTTGATGCTTCTGGTTTTTCCAGCATTATTAGTTTCAGTGGAAACGGAGTCAAGTTAAGACGTGGTTTTTCTGCATCTCACTTCCCCAAACCAACTCAGGTTTCTGTCATTTTCCTTCTCTTATCTTTACAGCGAGAAACAATCTACCCTTTATTGGTACATTTGCTAATATGCAAATTACTTGTGTGTGGGGGCCTGAAATCGGATCTTTGTCGGTTGATCTAATTTTAACCAATATGATTGGCTTACGTAGGATGAATTACGTCAAAGAAAGGAGGAAGAAATGGACGATTATTGTTCTCAGGTATGCTTTACAGCATTTTGCTTGTTCCATATATCTCTGGGTTTTACTAAGATCTATAAGGTGTAGTTTAGTTTTTTCTTAATGCTTTCTAATATAAATTGTTATAAACAAGGAATTTCATAATATTTCTCAAAAACTACAAATTTGACTGAGGGCAATATGGCTGCAATGAACTAAGTTTCAGTTAAGGAAGTCAAGGCTTGGCATGTTATCACTGCCGATATTTATTATACTGCAGTGAGCAGGGTAACCATGTAGCTAGTCAACTGTTCTCTATTATTGCCTATATTTGAAAGCTGCTCAAAGGAAATATTTGCCTGGTTGACTGCGTCTAAATGATATGACTTATTCACTGAAATGAAATGTTGCTTGCTGCATAATCTTGTGCTTTTCCTACTTTTGTTCAGATGAATTCATTGCTAAATGTAATATACTAAAGTGTGCATTTCTTCAGGATTGACTTGGGCTAAAAGTTATCAGGAAAAACTTACTTGTTTCGTCGTAGAGTGTTTTATTATTGACATACATAGAGTGTGTGTATGATCCAACTATAGCATTTTTAGTTTTTGATGTTGTGCTTCTTTAATATGATTTAATTTGGTCTACAATAACTTTTCCAATTGTTAATACAATGCACACTTTATAATGCCATGATGGGTTACAATGGATTGATATTAGCAGTTGCCTGAAAGATAAATAAATATTTGTTTTTTAGTATATGCTTAATTCTGTGGCAGCAAACCTTTCATTTGATGGATATTTTACACGGAAGATATATTGTAGACTTCTTGTATGAGTGCAATTCCAAATTCTTTTTTAATTGAATTTTAAACTTCTAAATCTGCATCTTGGTAAGGACTGCAACCTTATTCCCTTTCTCTTCCTCTAATTTTCTATTTGTACAAATAGTGTGCATGTTTGCATGCATAAAAGCCTGTCTGTCTGTTTAATGGGTGATTACAGTAAGACTGTTTATATTTAATCTAGGTTCCTGTTCGGCACTTAGTCTTCATGGTCCATGGTATTGGTCAAAGGTTGGAGAAATCTAATTTGGTTGATGATGTTGGCAACTTTCGACATATCACAGCAAGCCTTGCTGAGCGACACCTGACTTCACATCAACGTGGCACCCAAAGAGTCCTTTTCATCCCGTGTCAGGTAGTAAATTGTTCATCTATAGTGATTTTATACTGCCTTTCCCTGTTTGCTTATTTCTCTTGTTAACAAGAAATTTTTTTTTTTGTAATATATGTAGTACAAAATCGTTCATGCGAATGAGGCTCTATATCATCGTCATTGTGATTGTCATCATTATCATTCACTCTCTGTCATTGATCATTTTGATGATACTGTTTTCTGGCTGTGTTTTGGAATATTTATGTAATTTGAAATGGCTAAGATTGCTTTATCTGAGATAACTTGACTTGCTGCCGCAATGTGACAATCCACTTACCTGCACTTTAGACATTATAGGGTGTATGCAAATTAGCAAGGCCTTTGTGCAGTAAAGACCCTATGTTGTCATCTTATTGGTCCATATTTAATAATTGCCTCAATATTGTTGCACAACATTAATACTTTTAAAGGTACTAGGTATTGGGTTATTTCTTTGAGGCTGTGTGCTTTTCTTCAAGTTGTTTATTTATGAGTTATATATTTTAATTTTCCGTTAATACAGGGAAATTATAGCTGAAAGTTGCCACTGGAATGCTAAAGGTCATGGTTTTAATTAAACCCTTGTTTCTTGGGAAACTAACTGCTTGAAAATCTGTTTGTCACAGATATGATAAGCCATCCTTGAAAGATTTCAAGTGGCATAAATGAGAAGTTAGATGAGGCCAAAATGAAGAAATATTAGAAATAAAAGAGATGAATCTGAAAAATGAATTCATGATGCACTCTGCTGCTCGATCATGTATACATTTATAGGCCCATGTGTACCTTTTTGGCAACAAAAATGTTATTCTAGTTCATTGTTTTATTATGAAAAGCTTCTCTGGTTTGGAAATTTGAAATTTTCTTGGTTGAGTGCAAGGACAATAATCGAACTAATATCAAAAATAGCACAATGACATAGTGGTCGAGGTTTTTATTTTTTGAAAATTTGAAGGAATAATTAATTTTGTCTGCTCGAAAGATCTGGAGAAATGACAATGAAATGCGAACATGAGGGACCTTTCTATTCTAATAATTTGGTTAGGATGTATATTACATTGTTTTTGACATTTTTAATTTGCCCTTTTTGATTTGTAGTTGTCTTCTTTTGTTTATCTTGACCCAAGTCTTTATTTTTTATGATAGATGAAGTGAAAGAGCATGACATGTTAAACCTTTTGTTGGTACAAAAGAGGTCACAAACCCCAGCCTATCAGCCTATTACCACTTTTATCTTCTTGAATCAAATGAGGCAGCCTTGGAGGTGGATGATTTAAGACAATGATACCTGGTTCCTTATCATGACCCATATTGGCTATGTAGTTGCACAAGCATTGCCCTCCCTAAGAATGTGCTCAACTGCCATTACCTTTTATTGAACCTTGAGAAATAGATTAATTTTTTAGTGAGGGATACATAGTTTAAATGGTCTTAACCATATTGAAGCCTGAAATTTTCTTATTCATCAACTTTGTAGGATTATTAGTTAGTGCTTATTCTTTGAGCTCACTGACATTCATAGTTTTCTGCAATAAGATAGGTTTTCTATACAAACAGATTGAGACCCCAAAAATTTTGAGAATAGGTTTGGTCAAAGCAATTAATGTTAGGAAAAGTTATGTGGAAGTTATTTTTTTTTGTAGATAAATAATGAGGGTTCTGTATAATTTGGTTATTATGATATATGTGTAGACATGTATGGATGGCATTTTCTGCTATAAGTCTGGAATTTTGCGGGATTCTGTTGGATATGTGTAGTTGTAAGAATGGATAAATATGTCTTGTAAAATTTTCTATAATATTTGCTATGAGCTTATTTTTCTGGTTTTTATTCTCTTTTATATTTTTATGCAATTTTCATTTCTTCCTTTTATTTCTGATTGCTTTTTGATATGGTACTTCACCTCACATTTGTTTTTCAGTGGAGAAGGGGCTTGAAGCTCAGTGGTGAAGCTGCAGTTGAGAACATCACACTAGATGGTGTGCGGGGTTTGCGTGTTATGCTGAGTGCTACCGTTCATGATGTGTTATACTACATGAGTCCCATATACTGTCAGAGTATTATTGACTCGGTACTGTCTTTGCTATTATACATTTTTATTGTTTCTTTCATTTTTAATATTTGCAGCCTGCATGATTATTCAAAAGTGCTTCTATTAGTTTGTGTTTCTGGAATCATTAGATATAGCTCTAAATGATGGAGGAATTGCAGAAGGATTTATCAAACAATTTCAGCAATTTGAGATTTAACTCATTGCTTGATTATTACATGAACTTTAGCTCAAGTGCTAAACTGAAGTGTTTCAGATCTTGCCATATTAGTGATCAGTCTTGCAGGGGAATGAGCCCTTGCTCCTCTTGAAGGGTTTCCTCTTAGATATCTAATACTGCATCTTTAATTATCTTGCTCTTAAACTTCCGTAAAGGAATTGAAATTTTAATTACCATAAATCTGCTCTGGGAAAATAGGGGATGTACTTTAATCTAAAGAATGATAGGAAAAAATTTCGAGCTACTGTTGTAGAATTTTTTTCAAAAAGCAAGTACTTGAATGTGTAATTTTCTTTTACTCATCCAAAACAGTTACTTTATTGACATGTCTAATGTTAAAATATCTAAATGAGATTTCTAATTTTGTTAAAAACTGCTATATTTAAATCTTCTTGTATTAATTTTTGGTTATCATGAATTTGTAATTTCCTTTCTATAATGGCATATCGTTGTGTGCTTCTTTTTGTAGAAAGTGCTGTATCTATACTAATATATAGTGGGACTGACTGAGTTTGGTGTCACAAGTTAAGTGATACTAATTTAGTTGACAAAATTACAAAAAAATCTAATCAAATAGCAAAATAACATATAAATATAAGGTTATATCTATCATTTCCCTTCCTACATATTAGGATTGGCGCCCACATTGCATGCATTTAAAAGGAAAAACTACCAATTCCCTTCAAAAAGAAAAAATACCTTAAAAGAAAATTACTTTTTACTTTTAGAAAACAAAACCTGACTGCCTTTTGTTCTTTTTCCTCTCTATTTTAACAATAAGGAATTTTAGTTTTTTTCAAAGGAAAAAGGTTATCACATCATGCCTTTAATATGGATTTTTTTTTATTTTGTAAATATTTCAAGGTTTCTTGGATGGGAAAAGGTGCAAGATTGTTGGTTGATCATTTTGGATATACAAAAAGGAAATATATTTGTAAAATATGCTCTTTTAGCATATTATCAATGATCTCTGAGGAGAGTTGGAGGAGCTTTTATGCATCCCGATGTAAGAAATCTACACTAAGCTTTGAGGAAATTATTTGGTTTAGGATTATGGAGGAGAAATATAGGGAGTTGGTATAGGTTCAGGCTAATGCTGAAGATTTATAATATGATCTACTTTCAGAGAAAATTATTGATTTGCAGGGAGGATGGGTAGGGAAGCTCTTACGCATTAGGGTGTGAGAAATATGCATTAGTTTCCTGGAAGTTAATAGGTGTTGCACTACCAATGATATGTTAAAGGTTTCTATGGCGAATATTTCGTATATAGATACATAAAATTTTAAGCTATCTCACTTTTCTTATTCTTAAATCTTTTTCTATATGTCTTTTCTGTTGAATTTCTGTGTCTTAACTTCTTGCAGCTTTTGTGCATTCCTTCATAAAATAGTGTTATTACATTGCCTGAGAACATTTTTATATTTTGAAGCCAAATTAATAGTAATTCTTGTCCTCCAGGTTTCAAACCAGTTAAATCGGCTATATTTAAAGTTCCTTAAACGGAATCCTGGTTATGATGGAAAGGTATGTGTCTGGTTGAATGAGTATACATTGTCTTTCATTAAGTTATGTAACTACTGTGTCCATGTTTGCATATAATGCTTTTGTAATTATGACAAGAATTCTGTTTAGGTATCCATATATGGTCATTCTTTGGGAAGCGTTCTCTCCTATGACATCATCTGCCATCAAGAGAATCTCTCTTCCCCATTTCCAATGGAGTGGATATATGAGAAACAGACAAAAGATGTAGAATGTTCCCCTGATATGAATAGCCAGTCTTCTAAGTGCAGTTCTTTGGCCAAGCTAGAGGAAAAGAACTCCACTATGATGACCAAGGATGTAGTGGATTGCCCTGGTGAAGACATGGGTTCACGGTCAATTCCATTGGTGATTGAGGGAGGACATGTTGAAGATAATTCCTTAGAGTCAGCTGAAATTAATGCAGTGTCTAAGGACTCTATGCAGGAAAGCTTTAAGGAGGATGTGCATCATTTACTTAATGATTCTAGTGAAACCCCTCAGCTGGATAAGGGTGGGTTAGGTGAAGCTGCAGATGTACACTTTGTTGCCTCAGCCAGTCTTTTGGAGAAAGCAACTGAGGAAGAGAGTGAAGAAGCCCCAGATAAGGATAAAGCAATCAAAATGCTTAGAGAAGAGGTGGGATTTTCAATATACATATAAAAGCACTAAGATGCATATACTTATGCATGCAGGCAGAATTTCTTTGTTTCTGTGTGTACTGCATATACCCACCCACCAATACATGTTTTTCCATGGCTTTCTTGGATTTTGATGTATTAAATGAAAGTTTCCTGCTTCAGGTTGATTCCCTAAAGGCAAAAATTGCACAATTGGAATCACATAACAGTGAGGATACTGGTGGTACGTTGCTTCAGGACTTGACAATTATCTGGTTTGTTCTTGTGAATAAATTCTTATGTGAGTTTTGATGTCTTATGCAACAGAAAATAAGGAGATGCTTTTGCAAAAACCAACTACATTGCAGAAGTTTGATCAAAAGCTGCCAGTGAAGCTAGATGATGCACCAAAGAGCTATACCCCTTACATCAGATACACAAAGCTTGAATTCAATGTATGATGAAAAACTTAATGGTTTTCTTTCATTGAAAAATTTTTCTTGTCTTGTAATATTGTAGCGTCTCTTTAAGATATATTACATGTCTTATGTTCTTTTTTGTGGTATTTAAATACACACAAACATACAAACACAAGCAATCCTTCTTAGCAGAAGAAAAATTGGATAGTAGATATGTCATAGTCTTATATGAAGTACATTTAACATTTTATGAAATTTGTTACTGATTCAGTTGAACTGTTATAATATCAGGTTGACACATTCTTTGCAGTGGGATCACCTCTGGGAGTCTTCCTTGCCCTACGCAATGTCCGTATTGGACTTGGTAATGCTTAAATCTTGGGTGTCCTTGATGTGCTTCAGATATTGGTGACGAAAATTCATTAAGCATACTTCTAAATTTTTTATTTCTACTTTGTACAGTTTTAGGTGTTATAAATTTTTTTTTTTTTAAATAAAGGATGGATGCTATTTTCTGGTGAAAGATATAACTCTCACATTTGTTATGGAGTCACAGAAAGTTATGACCATTCTAATGATTGATTTGATTTTGTTATGGTTGTTGCTATTTAACTCTATGCTATGCCTCGTTCGATAAATGATCTCACTTACTTTGTTGCTGCTTATTTCACTTTATACTTTTAATGACTATGCCCAATTTTTTTAATTCATGTGATTAAATTATGACAGATTCCTAGTGTGCCACAATTTTGTTTGTTCTCTATAAAGATGCAATTAGCTACTTCACTCTTTTTTATGCTTCCCTCATATCTCTTGTTTAAAACAAATCTTCAAGTTTTAAATTTATGTTTCTAAGATTGCTAACATTATCCTAGTTTCTTGAGGATACCTTGTTTTTCCTTATGTTCTCTGTTCTCTTAACAGTTGTTTTTTTTCTTTTTGTACTTTGTCTCATGCTTGAACTGCTAAGTGTTTTTCTTTGTATTGCAGGCAAAGGGCAAGTTTATTGGGATGAGGAAAACATTAATGAAGAGATGCCATCTTGTCGTCAAATGTTCAACATTTTCCACCCATTCGATCCTGTAGCGTATAGGTTTGTCTTAGCCTGTTATGCATTCTTTATTCTCATTGGAGCAGAAAATGTCCAATTCCTAACAACATGTTTGGTGTGAAGGAAGGAAAATGGAGGGCAGGAAAGAAGGTGAGGAAGAGGAAGGAAAGTAATTTTTCCTTGGGTTTGGTATGAAGGATGGAAAATAGATTGAAAGAAAGAGTTTAGGTGTAAAATTCTTAATTTTAGTTGAATGAGTGTTTTCCTCCTAGTTATGGAAGGAAGGTAAAGGTGAAAATCTACCCATTTTCCTTACCTCCTCCTATTTCCTTCCTACCAAACGAAGGAAAGGATGGAGAGAAAGTAGTTTTTCCTTCCACCGCATTTCCTTCCTCATTCCTTCCTACCGAACACAGTGTAAGAGAAATGATTCATGGAGGCCTTGGCATGAGCTTTTTTGATTAGCTCATCTAAACTGGCAGAATTGTGAAGCTACACTTGGGTGTAGATAAGTATACGATCTCCTTTTTTTCCCTTATTTTTAGGAGAAGGGGGGGAGGGCGAGGAATGACTCATTCTGTCTATATGAGTTTGATTTGTTGGTATATATGCATGTCTGTGTGTGTGTGCTGAACTTGGCATCCTCCTCCCACTAAAAAGAAAAATTGAAAATTTGCTTCTACCCCTTTCCATTTCTCTTTCATTCAGGACATGGTCCATTTTTCTTCTTTTTAGTTTGTAATTATAATCTATCCTAAACTTGACAGAGCTGTGTTGTATTTTTATGCAGAGTAGAACCACTTGTTTGTAAAGAATACATCACAAAACGTCCTGTCATTATCCCTTACCACAAAGGTGGAAGAAGGCTGCATATTGGATTTCAAGTAAGGCCTTGGATATATGCATAAATTAATCTTTTCCCAGTTTCTCGTATTCACCCTCTCTTTGGTGTATCTTTAACCTTTTTGTCTCTTTCACTGTCTACCCTACCTCTCTTTTGAGCTTTCATCCCTTCTCAACTTTTGATATGTGTTATATGTTTAGGAATTTACTGAAGATTTAGCTGCTCGCTCTCAGGCAGTAATGGATCATCTCAGCTCTGTGAGGGTGGGCCTCTATTACACTTTCCAGAGTTAATATCTCATTGTTTGTTACATTCACAAGCTTTGTTTGGTTCCGCTGCTTTGACTTCTATGAACTATGGATTTCTCAAAATTTTCTCAGTTCCAGATTTGGTCAAAGTCCCAAGTCCATGGTTATTCTTGTAAAATTTCATGTTTTTATGCATAGGAAGCATGGTCAAAATCCATTTTATTTCTTCTGACTGCAAGTTTAACCATTAAAAGTCATTATCATTCTCTTATTCTTTATTGCTTTTGGGATGATATAATGGTAATATTTAGCTGAAATTTAACTTTGTTTTGGCCTAATTTCTACTTAAGGAACTACTCTGTTTATTCATATTTTGTTGTTGATGTTGCTGTTGTTGTTGTTATTTATTTATTTTTGTTTATAAGCTAGAACAAATGTATGTGTTGACAGTTTGATGCTGAAGGTTTTGGTCCCTTCTTGGTTCAAACTCCCAAAGCCTTGGCTGTTTATGTTGTAGGAATTGATTCAAAACTTTTCAGCAATAGTTAATGAATATCTGAACCTTGAAAACATATTGATTTATTTATCCATAATTTTTTTATAAATAACTTGAAATACTTGGATCATTTCATCTTAGTAACCTGGAAGCAAGTACGATAGTTTACATGTTCAGTGCTTGGGTGATATTGAAGTTCTAAACTGTATGCAGATACATGGTGATTGTATTGGTATCATTTGAGTACTAAGTTGCCTTGAATCTACTATAACACATGGACAAAATGAATTTGTTGCATTAGTTTTTGATAGTACGATTATAATGTATCTGCCAAACTTGAGTCTCAATTGGATTTGGATCATGGTTTAGGGTCATAAGCAAATTACATTACTAATTTACATTTTCAGTGTTTAGTTTCTGATCTTTTAAACTTCTAAATTATATGTTTTTTGAACAGGCTAAAGTGCTCACAGTTTGCCAATCGAGAAACACTGACAGTCTAGAAGGTAATCGAGAGTTTCTCTATCTTTTTTATGTGCACAAAGTAACACTGAAAAGAGGGGCCCATGTTACCTTTGTACATTTATTGATTGGGACTTAATCTATATTATACAGGACCAGAGACAGTGGAAGAAAAAGAAGAGAGGTCATATGGTTCTCTAATGATCGAGAGGTTAACCGGAAGTGAAGAAGGGCGGATAGATCATGTGCTTCAAGTGCGTAGTTATACAGTCTGATGCTATTTGATTTCATTTTCTTGGTTTTCTCTGGCTGTATTTGTATGGTGTGTGCCTGTGAACATGTGAAAATGAGACTGCACATGAATTTTTCTTGCTACACTTTCCTGCTAGTGGTAATTGCTTCTTTAGTTTTATTTTAACAGTTGTCACTGCAGCAATGTTTAGGCGTTTTTCTAGTTTGTATGATGGGATCTAGTTAATAGAGCACTGCTCATGAAAGTCTGTATAGACCGCTGGCTCTATCCAGTAGCCGGCCAGTAGATATGATGGTATATACTTGGAGAATGAGGTACTTGGATGCCAACTCATGGTCTCTCCTGGCCTCTTGCTATTAGTAATTAAAATTCTAATTGTTTAGACATACACACGACTGAGTAGTATAAACAAATTGAAAACTAGTAATTTGAGTTGGAATCTTCTGTAACTAATGTAAAAGTAAATAGGATAATGCCAATTTAAAACTCAAGGATGAAAATTGCATGGAGCTTTGTGTCATTAAAGAAGAAATGGAGAGTTTGGTTGGTTGGTTTTTCCTTCTTTTGAAACAAAAGGATGTTTAGCTTGTGCACTTATTGTTACTGCCGGCTCATATTGCTGATTTCTCCTAACTTGTGTCTTTTTGTTTACCATGCAGGATAAAACATTTGATCATCCATATCTACAAGCCATTGGAGCACATACGTAAGATTCTTGATTCATTTTATATATGTATGTATGTAAGTATGTACGTTGTGTGTGTCTGTGTGTGAAAACACTTTTGGATTATTATGTTGGGCTTGACTAGTGGGCAAACTTTTGGTATGCTATATATATATTCTTTGGCATATTGTTATACTTGCTGGACATTGTGCCTGTGACGGGTATAGTCATTACAATGGGTTGTCCTTTTCAGCCAATTCATAGGAAATTTTAAAAGTATAAAATATTTTCTTTAGGTAATGTGTCAACCAAAATTGTCCTTGGCATGTTGGTTGGACTATATAAACAAGGTGATATGCCACTACTCAGGATGGGATAACTGTTTAGATGCACCTAATTTTATCCAAATGGTTCTGATGCAGAATGCCAAGAAGCTAATTAAGGAATTAACTTAAGTTTTATCTTGTTACTTTGTTGTATATATGGGGGTTAATTGTAATATATTATAGAAATAGGTCTATATTTGGTATTCTAGATCTTTAGGGTTTAGGATATTAGTTTGGCCTTTCCTTATTTGGTATGCCAAGAAGTTAAGTTTGTTAGTTTTCTATTTGGAGTCTAAGTACTTTTGAAGTCCTGCTTGGAATAAGAATTCTAATTCTTTTAGGACTAGGGTTTCTAGGAGTCTATGGAAATGAATGTACACTTTTTATATAGAATTATTTATAAGAGAATGTCCAGCATTATTGCTATTGTGGTTGTGTGATGCAATCAACCTTAGGCATGATTTCTATGGAACCCCAGCTGTGTGAAGTTTAGGGATCCTTTTTCTCCTTCCCTTTTCTTTGTTCAATTTTTCCATGTTTCCTCAAGATTTTCAGATTACAAAATAGCCATAAATCCTATGCCCTTGCTCTCCTACATATATTAAATTCTGAAACAAATAATTTGTTGTTGGCTAATGTTAAGCATCCAACCTGAAAGCAATGGGAAATAGGTGGAGAGATCCAACTTTAGCATAAGGCCATAGCAGATTCTAAACATAACTGATGTGGGATGATACCACTTAACAATCCCCTCTGATGTGTAGGCCCAATACTAACAGCTGAACAAAAAAGCCTGTCATGTGGATGAACAAAGAAGGCGCAACAAACAGCATATTCACAGAGAGTCTAGAAGTATCTTAGGCTCTGATAACATGTTAAAGCATTCAAACCTAAAACCATATGACAATAGCTGCTGAAGTCAAACTCGAACATAATGCCACAACAAACTTTAAAACTGATTGTAGTGGGATAACAACCCTTAACAGTGGAGTTGCTAGTTTTATTGCAGGTGGCCAGGCTATCTTTGTTTTGTTTTTATATTGTAATCTATGGTGGCACCTTAAGGTTTGAGTTTGGAATCATAAATGCTTGTTATTGACATAAATACCAAACTACTTTTTTCTAATAAGAAAGGAAAAGGAAAAAGCATTATATGATAAATGGGGTAAAAGAATGAAACTTGAGGGTATTGCAACCGCCATACAAGCCCCAAAAATAAATGTACAAAATTCATATTATCCTTGTTCTTCTAATGTTTTGCAGGAAGAATAATTGCGATGATGTAATAGATTAAACCCTGTCTGTGATGTTGCCTCAGTTTTCAAGATTACATGTATTTATTTTATTCACAATTTAATGGGTAAACCTTGGTTGAACAGAAACTATTGGAGAGATTATGATACTGCACTTTTCATTTTGAAACATTTATATCGAGATATACCTGAAGATCTCAACTCTCCTGCGGAATCTAATGGAGGCAGCTCAAAGGATCAGAGAGTTTCTAGAGGCTTGTCTGATCAAAGAGAGACCACCGATGAAGAACTTCCATTGACATTCTCTGACAGAATTATGGTCAGAAACTTCTCAAGGAAAGCTAAGAAATTTATGAAGAAGCCTTGAGTGACAACAGATTTCCCTTTCTTGCTGCACACCAGGTTTAAATGCAAGCGGAGCGTACGATGAAGTTATGCACTGCACCTTCATGATACGACTTGTTGCTGCATTTCGGGCCATAATCTTGTATTTTGGACAGTTGACATGCCACTCTTCTACCTTGGGTTTCAAAAATTATTGGAAAGAGGTGTGCCGTGGAGAATTTATGATTATTGCATCAGGGATGTTGGCATGCTGCAGTAGACACAAAGATGTTCTTTTTTCAGCTTCCCTCTGTACATAAAAGGAGATACGGACATCTGTGCCAAATTAATCTATTCTAGTGAATTTAGGTGACTTGGTACAAATGTACAAGTTTTTTCTTAAAGCGCAGAAAGTGTACATACTACATAGTATATACACTGAAGAATCTTGTTGTTTACTAATTGTAACAATACAAATTCTTGCTCTTTCTTTAGGAGCACGAAAGGTCATTGAATCTTTAAATTTGCCATGACAATTTGTAGTTAGTTCATCTACAATTAATCTGGGATTTTATCATATTTAGCTCATGATAAGCTGTCAATTACGTTCTTGTCTTTATCTGTTATGAATACTATAACTTCTCATGTTAGAGAGAATGTAGAGGCCATCACCCTCCTGGCTGTGGTTATTCTTGAGAGACAAAGTTAGTTAACTTGAAGCAAAATGCCTAATGAAATTACATTTTGTTTGGGGTACTGTGCTGGGGGCAGACAGTAGTTAAAATTGCTGGGAAGCTCTTCTTCGATCCTGAGGTATACAGGTATGATTCTGTTGCAAACAAATATATTGAGTTCTAGCCTTGCTGCAATTTGGTGGGAATAGTCCTATAGAAGTAATATGTTTTCTATGCCTTTTCTAATTTAGTTATTATTTTAGCACTGTTATTGGATTTGACAATTCCATGTAACTTTCCTTTACTGGTACTTTTGAATCTGGCATATGTAACGAGTGGCTTCATTAATAGATGCAGCAGAAATATAGAAGAAAGTGATCTAAAGATACAACAAAGAGTTTCAGTTTATACTCCTACAATACATTCATTTTGGATGATTCTACACTGTTGAAATAGTCTGTTTATACCCCTACATTCATCTAAAGATGCCATTGATTCATATAAAAAGACTAGCACACAAAGGCCCAAAGCATGTTTGATTTCATTCATAAGTGGCACCACCATTCTCCACTCTAATTTAGCTTGCATGGCATTTATAATATGGTGAATATGACCCAGAAATTGTTCCAATCATTGTTTACAAAAGACATCCAACCATCGTTTGAATACAAAAGATAGGAGATGGATTGAAAATCAACTATGCAAGACAATTGTAATCCAAGGAGAATTTTCCAACGAAGAACATAGACAAATCTCATTAATGGAAATGTCTACTCATTAATGCATCCAATGTCAAATGTCATGCTATGAAAATGAAAGATAATTTACAAAAGATATCCAACCATTGTTTTAATACAAAAGATAAGAGATAGATTGAAAATCAAAAGTCATGTATCCCTTGTGGAGCACCTAACTGTAAAGATTAATGTGGTGGAGATGATGAAGGAAAGTGTTGACGAAGAAACTGTTCCAAGGCGTCTTGACGTTGCATGATCTCATTTTGTTGAGGGCTCACTTGGGAAAGGGTAGTTTGAAGTTCCAATATCCTTTTAGACAACCTTTCATCCACTTCTCCCATGTAACATGTGATGCCATCCATCTTTTCCATGAGAGACTCTTAAGGCATTTTGAGTATTAAAGGGTTGGTCACTAGGTTGTGGATTGGCTTGTTGTTGAGCCATTTTCCTTTGAACCCATCTACCCTTTTTATTTTGGACATTTCCTAATCTGCCTATTGTAGCTGGCCCAATGTACCTCATCTTTGATTCTAGAATGAGATGGTCACACCTAGTTTCTAAGTTTAGATAATCAATTATAGAACTAATGACCATTCCATAAAGAAGAGTTTTGTGAGAGCCAACCACAATTTTCAGCCTATCATCAAAGATGAGTTTCACTAAATTGACTCAATTTCCATGTTTAATGTGGTAGATGAACCACACATCTTCTTTATCAAGGGAAGGGTAGTTACTACCCCTTGGTCGCAAGGTGTAAGACACAATGAGGTGTAGAATCCTATCATGGAAGGACAGACGAGTGACATTGTTGATAGGAGTATCAATGGTGGGAGGAAAACGATAGACTTCATTGTCTAATTCTAGCTCAGTTAAGTTCTCCTCAATGCAATCTCTTCCATGTGTAGGCAACCCTAAAACAATCCTAAGGAAAGCAGGGTCTACAACAATTTGTTTGCCCAATACAAAGGTAGTAAACCCGTCACTGTTAGCAATTTCACTCTCATCCGCAAAATCTTGGGATTTGCTTGTGGCATTGCTGTAGAACACCCTAACAAGGTTTTTTTAGACTCCTCTGTTCATTCTAAGATAGTCAAGCCATCCTAATTTCCTAACGGCACCAATGAATGGAAAATCCAAGGAGGCAAGGAACTGAAAATCAATTACCCTTCTCGGTCGAACTTCTCGATGAGCAAAATCTGATGTGTAGCGTTTTTGAAGCGCGAGACTGCTGAAATTCCTTCCAAACGTGGGTTCCTCGCGTCAAGGAGAAGGGAAACCAGAGGCTTCTGTTCTTTGTTTCTTGGGAGCCATGGTTGGAGTGTGAAAACCTTGAAAACACTAGGGGTTTGTTCTAAAGGATTGATCCTAAGTGCGATTTTGAGGCTAGGTTTTCACCAAATTTCTGGTTTGGAGGAAGAGTGCAGAAAATGGAAGCAATTTGCTGGTTTTAGAGTGAGAAAGTGAACTTTAGTGAGAGAAATCAACAAATTTGAAGAGAAATTGAAGGAAAAACAAGTGGGTAGTGAACGTTACGGAGGAGGATGAAGGTTAGGGTTTGAAAGGATTAGGGGATTTCTGAAAATGTGAAGAAGAAAGGGAGTTTTCGGGTTTCAGTAGAGAAAATGAAGAGGCATTTTAAAGCTCCAATTTGGTATAATTCTGTTGCAAGGAAATATGTGGAGTTGTGATAGTTTCGTAGCTAGCCTCGCTGCAATTTATTGGGAATAGTTGAGTATTGATGATAGAATCCAGAGGCAGGAGGCTAACAAGTCATAACTCATGTTCAAAGAAGTCATAAGGGGAGTGCAGACCTTCATGAGGAAGGTGATTAGCATAATATTCCTTGTAGGAAGCTGTGATGGCGTGTGTCGGATGAAAGTAACGAAGCAATGGCGGTGTGGAGGAGAGAAGCAGGAAACACGTGCATGGTTTTTCCAAATTCGACCCAAGCATCGGACAGAGAGTCATGCTACTGCTACTGTCAGTGGAGCAGAGAAAGGAAAAAAAGAGTGACATGATGGACAAAGATTGTGGAGATCGGCTCTGTAGACAGAATATGAAAAAGAAACCAGTAGGAGAGAAAGGTGCAATCAATAAAAATGGTAATCTGCAGCAGAATGTAGGCATTGGGAATGAAATAGATGAGGTGACATAGGGGATGGAAGCCCAGAGTGGAGAAAACTTTGATGGCCCAAGTATCAAGACAGGTCTGGAGAAGGGGAAGAAGGAAATGAAGAAGGAGGGTTCGGGCATTGCAAATGAATGTCTGACAGTTGGAGACAGAGAGAAAAAGAACTGTAGCTTTTAGGAAGTGGCAAGTGAAGTGTTTCATAGAATTGCAACCTTTGAAGGGATCTCCAAGCCTAGAGAAGCTAGGAGAGTCAGTTACAGGAATCTTGGGTGGTTGTTTATTTGGGTAATATGCAGAGTGGGTGCAAGATCAAGAGAAGGAAACATACCTACAGCCTACAGGTTGTGTTTCTTACTCTTACTAGGATTTGTTGTACAGGTTGCAGGTAAAATTTGGAGTGAGCTGTTCATTTCTTGTGGAGGTTCTGTGTATAATGACATGGTTTTGTCTGCTGGCACTTTTTTTTTAAGCCAGTTCCTTGCTATATGAATCAAAGCTGACTTATCTTCAGTCTGGAACCTATAAGACCAAACCTGTCTTTTCGAGGTACAAGATTATGAATTTTGTTTCTTTTGGGAGACAGTTGAATTGGGATTTTATGTGAGGAAATATGTCAGCATGATGGATGAGAAAACTTTGAAATTCTTGGTAAATTTTGGTTTTTCTTTCTATGAAATTAGCCTTGGGAACTTTTCTGATGTTTGTGGAGTTGGAACTTCATGTTTGACACCTGTTGAGGTGTGAATGTAACTTAAATTTTGATTATTGCTTTTATGGGTTATGATCTTGTTGTTCTTTATTGAGGGTGGTTTTATCATGTGTTTTTGAGGAATGAAAGTAAATGTTAGGCAGCTGAGTAGAATTGGGGTTGGCTATAGTGTTACTTGGAATCTGGCACATGCAATGAGTGGCTTCATTAATAGTTGCAACAGAATATCTAGAAGAAAGTGATTTAAACATACAACAAAGAGTTCCAGTTTATACTCCTACTTTCATTTTGGATGATTCTACAATATTGGAATAGCCTGTTTATACTCCTACATTCATCTAAGATATGCTTTTGATTCATATAAAAAGACTCGCACACAAAGGCCCAAAGCATGTTTGATTTCATCCATAAGTGGCACCGCCATTCTGCACTCTAATTTAGCTCTGCGTGGCATTTATATTATGGTGAATATGTCATCTCTGGCTTTGAAATATCAATTTTGTTCTTAGCTTCACTCACTAGTTCATACTACAAACTACATGCTTGATCATTCTTAGACGTTGCCAAGGATAATGTGAGGGTTCAATGTCATAAAATTACCCTTTCCTTTGTCAATACAAAGTTTTTCCACCCTTTTCAAATTCACCTAGAACAATTAATGGGCAGCATCCTGCCCATCATATAAAAGGAACTATTTTTCATAGAGTCTTTTCTACCATCAAGATATAACATACCGCTCATCAACCTAGAATTTCACCAATCCATCAACTAATCTACCGGAAGGCTGCATCTGAACACCATAAGACCCCTTCTCAAACAATAATGAACTATAGATCGATAGGTATCTTACTCAATCTTGGTATCCAAGAGGTTAGGCAAATAAAGAAACTGAACAGAAGAAGTGACCTGAAACAGCAGCAGAATATGGAAAATCACAATAACCCCTTGCATTATATCAAGGGAACATTCTTATTACTCTCAAATTACAGCTTTTCCCTGGTCAGTATTGAATGCAAGACAGTAGCAAGAGATCCAATATGTTAAAAACATCAATATTGGTGTAATGCTGTTCCTTTTTCTCTGACAGTCAATTAAAGAATGATCAAATAAAAACTTTTGCCAGAAAAATATGATAACAAATACATATTAAGTTCAAGTCTTAGCATTCTGCTTTTGAGAGGAACTGACGTTCAAAGATGACAACCCCATAGTATCAGGACTCTTTAGCTGATCAAGTTGCTTCTTACCACGTCGAAGCAAGTACTCAATGTAGAGGAAATTTTTGCGATCTACTTGCTTAGAATTGCGGCGGAACTCAGCAGTGACAATTGATTCAATCTGGCATCGATCTTCAGTAGGCTTGGAACGAGCTGCTCGTAGAAATCCTCTGTATAGACTAAGCACTTGCTTCTGCAACCCAGAAAGTTTTTGCCCTTTCGAAGCACCCATTGCATCTTCTAGACGAATTACCCCACAGATGTCTCTCTAAAATCTGCCCTGGATGTGTTCAGAACAGAATGGACTGTGCCCCAAGCCAATACCAACTGTTCTACCAAATAGAGCAGGGATACAAACAAGAAGCATACCTAGAAAAAATAACATTAATCGCCATCAATTTATCTTAATAAGATTACCAGCTTAATAAGTTATCGAAACCCAATAATTTTAGATTCGACAAGCCATTCCAAAGCAATAAGTTATCACAGAGGAGAAAAACAAATGCAGACTAATAAGCACAGCAAGCAAGTTGGCAAAGGGAACCATGAACAGCCACCAGCATTAAATGGAGTGCTCAAGGAATGTGGCAATTGAAGCTGTCAGGTAATTACACTGTCAATGCCAAAACACCATGCATGGCCCCGTGCAGCCAAAATTGATAAGGTTTCTATCATAAGTAGCTTAGTTTATAAAATGCATATAAAAGGGATGTAACACTGTGAATACAAACTCAAAAAAATGGATACTTCTTCTACAGGTAGCAAAGGAAAGGTTAAATTGTCAACACATCTAATAGATAAATGCACTGCCATGAGATGAAAGGAACACTGTTCCAATAGATTAGTGACTGATTAAGTAGGAAAACAACCAACAGAAGAACACAAAACCACATAAATATGATACATGACATGTTAATTGTCTTAAGAAACAACAACATCAGAAGATGGATCCATATAGCATTGGAATTACTTTCAGAACAGGAAAAACCATGCATGCAGTCCCAAGTTTTTCTCCACTATCTCTCAAAACATTAATTCTACCTCTTAAATCAAAAAATGGGGAGTAAATACAAAGAAGGTTTTAGTCAAAAACATGGTGAGCATCCAAAATAGCATTCAAAATCAAACCTACTCGAAATTAACCATGATTCTCCAAAGCATCCAATATATATATGTAGCACATGTAATAGATAAGTGGGCTGCTAATAGATGAAAGAAACACTGTTCCAATAGATTAGTGACTAATTAAGTAGGAAAACAACCAACAGAAGAACCCAAAATCATATAAATATGAGTGACTCAAGTAAGAAACAACAACATCAGAAGATGGTTCCATCTAGCATTGGCATTACTTTCAGAACAGGAAAAACCATGAATGCAGTCCCAAGTTTCATGCACCATTTTTCCACTATCTCTTAAAAATATTAATTCTACCTCTTACGCATAATCATAATCAGCTAAGAAACACTTATCATGAAATTCATAAATCTCATAGAAGGCTTTAATCGAAAACATGGTGGGCATTTTTTACACAACCCAAAAATAGCATTCGAAATCAAACCAACTGGAAATTAACCACGATCCTCCAACTGATCCAATGCATATACATATGCAGCAAGAACAGTTAATTGGAACTTCTCTAAATTAGCCAAAAAGAAGAACCCAGACGCTAGTTTTGCTTAACAGTTCCAAATTTAAAAGAAACCCGGAGTTTAGATGATTGAAATATACGCTGCATTGCATACCTGGGAAATTAGAGTGGGCGTCGTGCAGAGCTAAGAACAAATCTTGGAATTACTAATTACAAATACATTTATGTCCAAGTCCCCTACTTACCTGTTAATGAACTAATCACGCATCTTAATACAAGAGGCGGCAATACGAGTGGCTTAGTTTTTTTCATCAGTATAATGCTCGAAAAATATTCATATTGTTTTAAATAATTTAAATAAAATTTTATTTTTATTACATTTAATTAAATATTTTATATTTTTATTTTAAATTAAATAAATATTTTATAATTTATAATGAATTAATTATCATTATTCAAAATATTACTAGTGATATTGATATTAACGTAGTATTAATATGAAATTGAAAATGTCATATTTTCGTGAAATTATATTATTATACCACATTATTATTTATTATAATATGTTAACATGACAAGTTAGTTATCTTAAAATTGATGAGGTTAAATACTCTACACCAACAATGAGTTTCATTTTCAATGCAATATGTGAAATTTATATTCTAATAATGTTTTAAAAAGATATATTGAAAAAGAAAATGTATAATTTTTGTAAAAATACTTGAATTATTAAAAATTTTAAATAAATTTTTATTTTTTATTTTATTCAATTAAATTTTTATATTTTTATTTTGAATTAAATATAATTATAAGTCTAATAATTGATTAATTTACATTAATTAAGATATTATTTAATAATTTATTCTTACGTAATGTCACTTTAGTGTTGACATAATACTGACGTGAAAGGTAAAAATATCATATGATCATATTATCATATCTTATCAACATGTCATGTGATTATTATTATAATATATCAACAAATCACATAGTGTATTATATGTCATCTTTTTTATTAATAATAAATAATTAATCATTAATTATAAAATTTTATTTGATTAAAAAATTATAAAACTTAGATAAAAAATAATAAAAACATAAAAATTTATTCAATATATATTTATTAAAAAAAAGTTTTCTATTAATCACATTAAAAAGGTTCAATTTTCGAAGGTTACAAGGAATCTATTGTCTCCTACCGCGTTTAACAGTGGATGAGGATCCTAAGCCTATTCGTGTCAACTCAATTCCTTCTCCTACAGGCAGAGTTACAGATTCTACTCCTTTGGTTCTGTTAACAATTTGAGCAAATGAAACTCCAGCTTTGGTTCGATGAAGATTGTGAACTATTACAGTGGAGGCGCTTGGGTTGACGTCAACTTCTCTAAACAGTTTCAAGTAACCATGGAACTTGCAGTCGATTACTGCAAAGTCGATGTTGTTCAGTTGCATGAGCATCTCGCAAGGACTTATTCCACGCACCAACTTTATCACATGGTCAAGGCCAGTCGTCGTCGACCCAGCATCGACCTGGCGATGATCATCCTCATCACCATCATCATCGACAAGAATGCAAATAAGTTGGCCTCCACTCTGCTTTGCGGCCACACCGAGTGCAACCGTCAATGGCGTTACGCCTTGTGTTGTGATTTCCACGATTAGTTTAGCTCGTTTTCCTGCTGCCAAGGCTGATATGAACTCCAAGCACTGAGGTTCCACGACTCCTGCGGTTTCAGCAGGGTTAGGATCCCTTACAAGATGAAGAGTCTGCAGATAAGCTTTCATTGCATCTTGAGGAGACCATTCCATTGTTGCAATTAAAAGGCAAAATATTGAACTAGCAAGCAAAGGCAAATTAGCAATGAGTGAAGCAAGTTAGGGACAGGTTTTTGAGGTTTATAGGCAAATTTACCCTAGAACCATACCATTAGCTTGGTTGCAAGATTGTTTGATTGTCAAGTAAGAAAACTAATTAGTTGCCTGTTTGACAGCTGACAGATGACAGCTTATGAGCAGATGACAAGTGGGTCTAGCAATGTTCCAAAGTGCAACCTAAGTTTTACGAAGTTGAAGTCGTGGCAGGATTTGAGGGATCTTCATGTGACCATGCCTGTTGTTATAACAACAATTCAAGTTTAAGCTTACTTTGTTTGCTTTCGCAGGCATTAGTCACACAATGGACATGACAGGAGGACACTTGTCATGCAGGAACATGGGCGTCAGCAGGATATGTGGAGAAGAACGAAAATGGCACTGACCATATAGGACCCGTAATACAGCTAGGCAAAGTCCATCGCGTCAGTCCTTTTAGATCGATGCTTTTGACTGCATATGCTCATTTTTCAACCGTACACGTTGCAACCACGATTCAGAATATTAGAGTCTAAAGATTCCTTGTACTTGCAATTATTTATACCCCAATCTGTTAAGAATTTGAAAACTAGACGGTTCCCAAGCAACCAATGATAGAATGCCACATTAGGCATCCAATCTGTTAAGAATTTTGAAAACTAGACGGTTCCCAGGCAACCAATGATAGAATGCCACATTAGGCATCACCAGCTTGTCATCCGGATAAAACTGAAAACGAAAGAGATGACAGTTATCTTCTGCAAATAGGGAAACAAAAAGTAAAAAGTGATTTAGGGTTGGTTAGTTTTTAAATCAATAATACATATATATATATATTATGTGTATCACTTGTTATTTTATTATTTTATTAAATACTTAATTTGAAATAAAATTTTTTTATATTTTTATCAATTTAAAATTAAATGTTTCGATTGTAATAATTAAATATCAAATATTTTCGATTCTTTAAAATTAAATATTAAAGTAAAAAGTATCTGACGTGTATAGAACACATGCATAAAGGGGACTATCAAGTTTGTCTGTCAAAAAATTTTTCTTTTTAAGTCAAAGAGGTTCAAATTATAGTGTTATATATAACAACTTTTTCATCATGACATGTAATAATTATATTTTTTAATATAACGTGTAACAATTAAATCTTCAACGTAACATGTAATAACAAAATGTTCAATATGACATGTAATAATTAAATTTTTAATATGACGTGTTATAAGTGTATTTTCGAACATGACATGTAACAACTAAATTTTTATAAGTTCGATCGAGTTCATTGTAATCATATCAGTTTACGTAATTTTCTATTATGTGTGATATATGCTTTATCCACCTGCCAACTTAGAAATCGAAAATATTTGACTCTTAATTGTTACAATTGAAATATTTAGTTCTTAATTGAAAAAGTATCCAAATGTTTAGTCTCAATTTGAATATTTAGCCATATTATTCTCATGCAAGGATGTAAATGGGTAGCTACTCATTTTTTTAAAGATCTTACTTTCAATCTGTTTGATTAAAAAGGTATTTGAATCCTATTAAAATTCAAATAAAATCGTAAAACATTATTCAAAATCGAACCCTAATAATATAACATTATCCACTAATTTCCCGAATCCGTTAAATACTTAGATTAAATAATTAAAAACTATACAAAAAATATATTTTATATTTATTAGATTACCAGAAAAAGAAGTTAGTTAAGATGACAAAGGTTGTGTTGAAAGTAAAAAGGGATAAAAAGTTTGAAAATTATCAATAACAAATTTTTAAAACATTATATATAATATTAATATATATACTAAGAAAAAAAACTATTAATATATATATGTATATTCAGATTCAAGTTTAAGGTATCTTAAGAGCAATACTTGAAATCTATTTGAACTCAAATCAGGTATTAAAAATATAATCCAAATCATGTATAAATAATCAGATTTAGGTTGAAGGTATCTTAAGAGTGATATTCGAAACTTATTCAAACCCAAGTCGATTATTAAAAATATTATCTAAATCCAACCCATAACTGAATATAGAGTACTTGAACCATATATTATAGGGTACTCATGGATATCTATATAATAACAACTTATTTACATCCCCATTCTCACGTATCGCTAATATGATATTGCTATGAAAGATGAAAATGTTACATAGTCATATCATAATGCCGCATAAGTATTGCCATATCGCCATCCATTATAACATGTTACATCTCTATTCTCATGTGTGCTAATATAACACTATCATTGACGCGGAAGGTGAAAACGTTACATGGTTATGTTGTAATGCCACATAAGTGTAAGAGAAAAAAAAGCATAATATCTAAATTTTTTTTAAAATATTAAGAAAAATTCAAATAAAATAAACATTTATACTTTTATTGTATTCAATCAAATCTTTATACTTTTATTTTGATCTAAATAAATCATTGTACTTTCATTTTGAGTCAAACAAGTTCTTACGACTAATGATTGATTTAATCAAAATATTATTTATCATGTTCTACTACATGATGTTGACGTGATATATTAATATATCATAATTAATAATGACGTGATATATTAATTTAACATGATAACATGATCATATAATATTTTTTACTTTTTATATCAATGTCATATCAATATCATATGAATATATGATAATAAATGAATTTTGATTAATTACAATTAATCAATTAATAGGCATAAAAACTTATTTGACTTAAAATAAAAAAAATAAATTTAATTAAATATAATAAAAATATAAAAATTTATTTAAATTTATTTAAATGATTTAGAGATTTATTTGAGCATTATAAAAAAAAGAAAAAACGAAAGTTGGCGATGAGTTTGCGCTAGAAACCTTGCCTCTCGGTGTGCGGTTTGGGCTTTAAACCATCCAAGAGAGAATCTTAGCATCGTTTTCCCCATAGGTGGTTGAGTTCTTAAAATCCTGCGACTGAATCTGAAATGGAAACAGCAAACAGCAAACCATCTTCCAAACGCCTCTTATTCGACCGGCGTTACGGTTGGGTGTAAGTCTTTGTCTATTATCTTCTGTCTTTTCCTGCACATATCTTTCTCTGGGTTGGCTTTTAATTACATCGTTGGTTTAAATTGAATGCAGGTTTGATGAATGGAAAGACCCATCGGAAGAAGCTCTAGCCGGTGGCCGAGGAATGTAAGCTTTTTCGTTTGGCTCTCCTCTGTTTTGTTTGCTGAAAATAATGAACAAAATGATTTGTAGGAAATTGAAGTATGGGATATTCTCATGAACTCGCATCGCATTGGCTTCATAATTCTGTTGTGTTATTAATTAATTTTGCTTCTTTTTTGCTTGATTTCAAAAGGTTTTGCATAGTGCCTCTAGCAAAAGCTTTGTTGAAGACAGCTTCAAATTCGGTATGGTGTAATTCTTCATTCTGTTTGCCCTGACTAGTTTAGGGGTTGTTTAAGGTATTATGCGTACATTTTAATGATCCTTTTAAACCAACCACAATAACAATGTCTCAACCAAGTTACCAAGTAAGCAACTTTTTAAGTAATAATCAGGTCCTTAGTTACATGAACATGTTTGCAGGTTGTTTCCAGGAATACCCCTGAAATTACACTTACAATCCCCTTGCTTGAAGATAGGTGCTTTCACCCCTAGACTGTTATTCATGTTAGTCAAACCTTATGAGGCTTTGGGCTCTGCTGCTTCATCATGTTAGATAAATTAACAAGACTTGGCCTGACCGATATTCACTCCCCACTTGAAAGAGGAAAATGGAAAATGAACATAGCCCGGATATTGCCTAGTGATTCTGAGTAAGAACTGAAGTTATGCTTAGAAAGAAATTTTAAGAATAGAAGCAGAACTTGGAAGGAATAGATCATAGAAGAGAGAAAGAGTAAATAAGAATAAAGCTATTCTTGTAAGGTGCTATTCATAGAGCAGGTAAGTAACGGTTATGCATCTGCCAAACGAAAATTAAACCACCTACTCTGGCTTTTGTGTAAATTACCAAATTATGCTAGAGATTTAATTAAGACTAAACATAACAATGAACAAATAAAAAAAAAAAGACTTTTAACTGACTAATGGATTTAAACTTGTTCTGATTTGTTTGGTTCAATTCATCTTCTAAGTTTGTTATTACTTTATTTTCCTCCTTTATTATCAGTGATGATTACCTTAACTTCTTTGATATATAAACCACTGGCTAGCATGCAAAGCCTGACATAAACTTTTTGATCTGCACTTTTTTTTGTTTCCTGAAACCATATTCTTTTTAACAGCCTCAAGTCTACTTGGCAGCATGATGCACCCATCTAAAAATTGACTGTAGAATCTTAGTTGTGAGTTGATCAATCTCTGCTGCATATATTTTTTATGGAGTGCAAGATTTTTGCTTTATTTTTATTTTTCAATTGGGAGCATTTCAGTTAATTGTTCTAAATAACTAATTTAAATATTATGATATCAAGTAGCCTTTTCTTTGTAGTTATCCTTTGGTCTTTTGTTTCTTGCAGATCAATCTTGCAGCAAGCTCTGTTGTGAAAGTCTTAGAAAAGCCAAACCTGCTCTCCCCACAAGAGCTAGAAGCTAACCTCAGAGATCAGCTACAAAGGGTCACAAATTCTATACAAAAACCATAAATCGATTGCCTCATCCCAATTGGAAAATCCCTATCACTCTGCCAGCAGTTCTTTGCATCTGCATGTTGTGTGCATAATTGTAAAATGTCTACTCCACATCAAATGATTGCGTGTGCATGAACTTTGATGTGTGAAGAAGAGATCATGAAACTACTACATAACTAATATGGTTTGTATACTACTAGGGTGATTTTAATAGTTAGTCCAGTGTTATCTTGTTTGTTCATGCATGTCGCTGAGTGCTGATTGAAGAGGTCCTGGTATCTCTGATGTTCCCTCTAATAAGATGCGACTTGTGATATGATAACCTTAGGGGTTACTTTTTTAATTTCCTTTTATTAAAATTCATGTCTGATATTCTGATGCATTCTGGTTTGCAAGGGAGGATCCATGAATCTTTCCTTTCGACTACATAAAACTTAAGGGCAGAATGTTGAGAAGATAAGAAAGCTGGGGTTGATTGCTGTAGGTCTTTTGATCCTATTCGAATGTCAGGTTTTAAATTGAAATCTTTTTCCTAGTTAAGTAAGAATGAGCTTTGGGTGCAATACGGGGAGTCTTGTTCGCCTCTAAGGATCATTGAACTGTCTTTTGATATTTATCATAACAAATGCAAGAAAGTGTATTAAGATTTACATTTCTTGCAAAGAAAGTAACGAAATTGATGCAAATATATCATTCACATTAACGAAATAATTTTTACGATACTCGCATGTTATTGGTTGGGTAGCTCTTGACTACCTCGACAATATTTGTTTTGAAATTGAAATCATAATTCGGTGCATGATTATTACTTAAAGAAGACATGGATGTTTTCTTTGGAGAATATAATCAAACACCAAATAAAGAGATAGAAATAAATATATTTTCATCTTTAAACATCAATATATGACAACATATCAAACTTAAATATTACAAAATAAGTCAATACGAACAAGTAAAAATTTATCCTTGAATCTTATTCCGAATAAAAACTTCACACTTAGTTAAATTTCGAACAATCTCGTCCATTATAGTTTTAATGAGAGTTTTACACCAATGAAAAGATGAATAAATTCTAATACTATTTGTTACAGTGAAAACTCATCTCATCCTTACGGATGTGAATACATAACATATACACATCTTTGGAGATTTAATATAAGAAAAAGATCAATTAAAGAAAGCTATTGCTAATGGTTATATAAAATAACAAATGAGGATACATAAACTTTGAGGTAAAATGGGGATCATTCTATTAGATTGGGTTCAATTATACATTTGAATTCGATTTACATGCTTAGATTTGCGGTCATCAATTTTACAATTTTCAACTTTACTTTTACTAACTTGATCCTTCATTTTTACTCGATATCTTTTACCGCGTCCTGCATCACAATCAAGGCAAGAGAAATCGTAACTATATCAGATGATAAACACATGAAAAATTGAAGACTGCAGAACAAGATTCGATCCAAATGCCAACAACCACACCACCAATCCAAACAATGCCCAACACTATCTGGAATTGCAATGAAGTTGCTAGATCAATTATGAAAGCATAATGCTCGAAAAAACTCTTCTATTCCATTCAATCAAGTCTCTTTATTTTTTATTTTGAGGTTAAATAAGCTCTTATTATTAAGAGTTGACTAATTATACTTAATCAAAATGTCACTATATCATTTTTTGTCCATGTGTGGCTGACGTGGAGAGCAAAAAAATCACATAGTCATGTCATTATATCACATCAACATGCCACATTATCTTTTATTATCACATGTCAACATGTTACATCAGTGTCATGTGACATATAATAACAAGTGACATTTTAATTATCAACAACTAGTCAATCATTAGGCAAAAGAACTTATTTGACTGAAATTAAAACATAAAGACTTGATTGAATGTAATAAAAGAACAAAAACTTATTTGAATTTTACTGAATAGTTTAGAAGCTTCTTTTAAGTATTATACCTATTACGAACATATGCGAATGCAATACATAAATCCTCAAACTAAGTGCTGTGAGACAAGTAGGGCCACAGCAAAAGGCTAAACAAACTAAATTACCTTTGCAAGCTGCGTCACATAAGCTGCCGCTATCGCAGTGGCCAACAGCCCAAGTCCAAGTGTTAATATACCATTTCCTCCAAATGCAAAATCTGATTCTTCTTGCTGAAAATTTTCCCAATGGAGAAAAAAAAATAATTAATCATATGAAACATAGCTCAGGCAATTGCAAGATACTCTTCATGTATCTGATATTGATTAGTTTCAGATTATTGCTTAGTAGATGTGTTGAGCAGTATACAACTATTCCAGTTGCTCTACTGAAGAACTCCATGAACGAGAATACCTAATTCCTGGCTGAAAACTGTTTCAACTTGTTCTAAAAAAATTGATATTCTTCCTTGAAGCTTAGGCAGACAAAGAAACCAATACTTCTAATGACCTAGGAAAGAACCATTATATGCTAGGAAGCAGCAAAGTTAGGCTTTAGTATTAGTAGTAGTTATCATTTGGGTCAGGCAACTTAGTTAAGATAATTATAACAAAGGATACATTTGTGCATGTGAACGTTATGTCAATAATGTTAAGAGGGTAACACAAGAAGCATGAGAAATTAAAAAGAAAAAGAAAAAGCATGTGCTTGGACTCAGATCAAAGATGCTGCACCTCTGGAAAAGGCTGTTGGTCTCAAATTCTTATGAAAAGGAAGGGCTGTTCTGAATGGTTTGATGTCTTGGATGGGACTGTACAGGATGACTTCTGTATATGGACGTAGTCGGGTGCTTTTGTATGAGGGGAGCAGAATATTTATACAGGGTATAGGCGAAATGCCATACTTCTGATCATTTTGGTGTCCCCTTATGGCTTATAAAAAAAAAAGTGCTTGGACCCAGATAAGGAGTTTTGAAGTTAAATGACTAAATGCTGATCATGGAGAATTTTAGATAATTCAAAAGCAATACAAAATTAAAGATAAATGAAAAACTTACAATAATTGCTCGGCCAAATGCACCAGCACTGACATAAGCCCATGTTCCTGGAAGCATCCCTAACCAACTGCATGACAATTATTGGTTCAATTTGAATACAAATGTTGAAAGCAAAGTTAAAAGAGTCTCTCCGATAACATTTAAACATCACACCAACATCAAGAGTAAGAAGACCTTATTATCTCAAAAAAGAACAAAGCATGAGGTCATGACAATTGGAAGAAGAAGCAAACCTTCCCAACACATATGGCACAAACTTTACAGATGTCAATCCATAGAGATAATTCCCCAGTGAAAATGGGAGCAAAGGGCTCAATCGAAGGAGGGTCACTACTCTGAAGCCATTTTCTCCAATTGCTTTGTCAATTGCAAGGAACTTTTTGTTCCCTTCAACCAGTTTAAGAATACGCTCACGAGCAAAATATCTAGCAATTAGAAAGGCAACACTTGCTGCCACCTAAAAATGTTAAAGTATATTAATGAGAAAATTTCGGTGCACACAATTGTCATTCTAAGCTCTTTTATGTTTGGAAAAGAATATACTCACTGTTCCACTGATAGAGACTATAATGGTGCCAATAACAGAGCCAAAAAGAAGACCAGCTGACATAGTCAATGGAATGGCAGGAATTGCAAGGACCTACAACACAATAAAAAAGACAACAGTGCTTTTAGCAAAGATACAGAAGCATACCGGTCTTAAACATTTGGACAGAAAGCATATATTCCACTGAGAACTTTTCCAGCTATTGGGTAGTTTGAACAATATGGAAGGTATAGAAGTTCAGAAAGAATAGCCCATGACAGCAGAGAGGCAAAAAAAGAAAAGATTTCATTTGAAAACCATGCACATATCAGGGGATAATATGACTCTTAAGCAAGAAAAGTGAAACATCCGAATTTTCAAGTTTATTACTTCTGATGAGACATGAACCCATCATTAGCTTGCATGAAAATCTAGAAAACAAAGTAACAAAGCCATGGGCTTGAAATAGAACTGAATGAAAGAAGCAAAGCACAAAAACTCAAGAAAGAAAACAGATGCTTACTTCCAACCCTGCATAAACTGCTACAAACAAAGCATATCCAGCAGGGCCATAACCTGTTCATTGAAAGAAATATATAGCATTAAAATGACAGAGTCTGTACTTAAAAGGGGAAAAAAAAGCAAACATGAAATTCCCAATTAACAGCACATTGTACTAGTCAATCTGAAATTACTTCCAGAAAAGGCTAAATCAAATTATAAGACTTTGTCAGCACAATATGCCAATCAAAGAATTTCCCACAATGCAGAGAAACATCAAAGTCAAAAACAAATATGTTTTAGCATCACATGAATTAAAGTGTTAAAGTTTCATTTCTGGGTAGCAACTACATGTAAAAATATAATCATCTTTACTCATTACTAAACCACTTGGTCAAGAAGACAAGTCTCTCCATTGTAGGGAAAAATGAACTTTATCCCCTGCAAGCAACTGTTGAAAAACCAAAAATATTTCTTTTCTTGATTACTGTAATCTAGGTCACCCCAAAACCACTTAGTGCACTATAAGTAGAGAAGGTCAACACATAAACAAGTGATTCAATAAAGATAAAACAGCAAATGTCCTTCCGTCAGGAATAGAGAGAAGATTTGCAGGACTAGGCATAGCAAGGGGCCAAAGCCTTATGTTGACAACATTCTGTAAACCAACGAAACAAGTACACACATAAGAGAAAAGAAAAGAAAATAAAACCAAAAGATAATTTCTGTTTTTGGTTGAAGTTGTCTGAAGATGGGCGAAGAGGAAAGGATGAGGTTACTTGTAAGAGACTTGATCCTAAGCTATTTCAGCAATGCCAAGTATATTCTTTCTGTCGCATCATCCTAAACTTAAAGGAAATTCCTTTAATGAAACCCCAAATTTAATACCAAATCAATCAGAAAACCTAAAACTCCAAGCTAAAGCATACTATATTCGCAAATGTACATGAAACCTTAATTCGTTGTCTAATTATCAAAATAAAAGAATCCAATTTCCAATACTAAATGAATAAAGAATCACCATTTCACATAAAATAACCCTATTAATAAAAGCAAGACAAAATTCAACTGAATTCTGAAAAAAGGTCTGAAATTCGTTTAGAAATTACCTTCAATGAAAGTGGAAAACTGGTTAAGGAAGGCATTGATCTGGTCCTTGTAGATAAACCCAACAGTACCTAATCCACCAACAACACCAAAAAGTAAAACTCCAGCCAAAAGGGTGCCTTTAAGTGCAGAGCCCCCTTCAATCCCTCCTTCACCATTACCATCAGCATCAGAATCCACTTTGACCTTCTCATCATCATCACCTTTGGGGTTGAGGAACCACCTCAGACTCTGTGGAGCACTAGGCGGACTCTTCTGAAGAGACTGCTGCTTCTTTGTTTGCCTGAGGGAAGAACATGGCTTGAGATAATGGAAACGCTTGTTGGGTCTAAAGCTATAGAGAAAAGAGTTGGAAGAAGAACAAGAAGAAGGAGAGGAATGGCAATTATAAGTGATTGGAAGAGAAGAGGAGGAAGAAGAAGACGACAGGCATGGTGGCCCTAAGGTAAGGAGGGTGCGCATTTTAAGGAGAGAGTGAGGGCGTAGGATAACAGGAAACACAACGCAACCCAACACAAGTAGCTGCTTCCTTAAGCTGCTGCCGTTGCTGTTGGTGTTGCTGTGGAGAGACTGCCATGCATTCTTGGAGTTGTGGTCGTTTGTGGGCGTAGCTTTTTCGGTGTCCAGGGGTTATTCGGTTGATAAGAAAAGGTGTGGCTCATTGGGTTATGTACTTCCTTTCTGCCTCACATTGTGCCACGTCTTTCTGCTTAACAGGAAATTGTTTTGAGCCATTCTTTTCCACATTTTCTTCTTTGCTATGCATTTGTTTTTACCTTTAATTTATCTTATAATGGTAGATGATGCAACATGCTAATATTAATGTAACCGATTAATATAGGGTTGTTATCTTATATTTTTTAGGATAAAATATTTTTATTTTTTAAATTTAGATGAAAATTATATAAAAATTTATTAATTTTTAAAATAAATACTCTATTTTAAAAAATAATTTTTCTTCAATTCTGATAATCAATTGTTAATATTTCTATAAACTTGATAATGTGATAAGAGTAAAAAGATAATTTTATTTTTAATTAATTTTATATTTATTATTATATAATTTAATTATTTTTTATAAATTAAAAAAAATTTCTCATTTGGGAGCACCATGCTCTCATTTCTTGGTGAGTTGGGAGCACTAATCGATGCTCTCTATTTTTTTATTTTTTAAAATATATTAATAATTTTTTAAATTAATAAAGAAAAAAAAGTATTTTAGTTTGTTCAAAATTTCCCATTAAAAGAAATTATGAGAAATAGTCTTCTTCATAAGGAGATTTCAAAAATGACCACCTATATAAAGTTATTTGTTTTTATCCAAAAATAAGCATAATTATACCAAAATGCCCTTAAAACATCTTGACAAATTAAGCTCCCAATATCTCCTTCCCGCCATAGAGAAAATAGAAATAAATGTTCAGCTATTTCAACTCACTCATCTCTTTCTCAGCTCTTTGAACTGTATCGACTATGTTAACTCTTTGTTGAGTACCATTGTTATCAGCTCTCTCAGCTCTCTGAACTATATCTGCTCTGTCAACTCTTTGTTGAGCACAATCATCATCGTGTTTTGGTCTATCTCTCAGCATCTGACCATATTGTGGTCGATAAACAGACCCTATAACAGAGATGACATCAAGATATATTATTGGGTTTATTACTGCAACATATTAATTTTTGAAACTTTTTGTATAAATTAGAACATGGATTAGAAACATTACCTAGAGTTATTACATGCCATGCATCTATAATGCACATAGCGTGTAAAAAATATATTGAAATAATATGTGTTAACACATGACATGTAACATTTTTACTGAACATGGCGTATGACAATTTTTGAATTTGCGTGTAACACTTTTGAACATGACGTGTAGCATTTTTTGAACTTACGCGTAATTTTTTTAACATGACGTGTAACATTTTTTAAATATGACGTGTAACATTTTTTGAACATGGCATGTAACAACATGACTGACAAATTTTAGAACACTGCATGTAATGTGTACAATGATTGACAAATTTTTTGTTTTCAAAATTTCAATAGGGTTCCAATTATGCGACTTATGATAAGACACGGTAGTTAGTGGGTGGATGGCATTTACAAGGGTGGTGAGTCACGAATGCGGGAGATTAGGAGTAATTTGTTGTTTCCGGGCTTGATGAAGCTAGTTGAAGATATTGTTAGGGTAAACTCAGAAATTCATGAATTGAGTTACATGCATTGGTCAGTACACCCAGAGACCTATCACACCTAATTATCTAGGACGATGAGGATGTTGCATTAATTCTGCTAGAACAGAGGAACGTTCTAGCTGTGTATGTCACCATTAAGGAACACCAAACAAATGTTATATCACATGAAGAAGTTGTACAACATGGTAATCAGCTCAATCAAAATGAGATTTATAATGCTTCACATATACCAAAACATTTAGTCCATAATCCACAACAATGGCAATAGATGTATGTACAAGAGTTTGTGCAACCCGGTAAACGCACAATATTCACAAAACAATTGGCTGCACAATTTTCGATCAACATGTGCATTGAACTAATTACTTGCTTTTATCCAATAAATGCAACGATCGAGTGAAACTGCAAAGGGTGTAATGCCATTTTCAAATAAGAATACGACACTTGAGGACAACATTGCGATGTCTGACGGTGACACAATGACGTTGGAGGGTGACATTGCGATGCTCAAGGATAATACTACATCTAATGAGGAATATGAGGATTTATTCCTTGTCGATGAAGATGGATTTGATGACAATTCAAATGATGGGCCTGATGAATGGCATGATGACAGTTTAGACAATGACTAGCTTTATGACAATTTGAAATAATGTTGAAGGTGAAACGGAACTTGTTAGAGGTGTTGATGTAGGAGATGTTCAATGTGATGAACCCATATACAATAACCTCATTGCTGGTGAGAACGGTATTCGTTCCCCTGAGACATTGCTCAATGACAGTTATCAGGAAAAGGAAAATACATGGATATCTTGTACATGGCTAATTTCAAGTGCAGAAAGGTTCTCCTTCCAAACAATTACCATAAGGAGTCAATATGTGCCGATGATCGCTTATTTAAAGGAAAAATGTTTTTCTAGAAGGCTGAGTTAAAACGAGCTTTGAACATATTGGCTCTAAAAGAGTAGTTTTCGATAAGAATAAAAAGGTCATGTGAAGGTCGTTTTGAGGTTGGTTACAAGAACAAGGCATGCAAGTTCAGCGTGCGTGCAATGAAGTTACTTGAAGGAGAATATTGGCAAGTTTAGATGTTCTACAAAGTACACACGTGTACTGTTGACGGTTTGCAAGGGCGATTTTGAATCGCGAGTGCGAAGATAATTGGTGAGCTTTTGTCACATAAGCTTCAGGCTAATGGAGTAGCATTGAAACCTAAAGACATAATTGTTGAGATGAGGGTTCAGTGGGGATTGCAATGCTTGTATGGTAAGGCCTATCAAGCGAAGGAATATGTGGAGAGGCTTGTTTTCGGTCCTTCGGAGTAGTCATTGCAATTACTACTCTCGTATTTTTATATGTTGAAATAAGAAAATCTCGACATAGTCACTGTAATGGCTACTGATGAGGCACAAAGATTCAAATATCATTTTTGATCATATGGGGCTTGTATTTGGGGGTTTAGAGATGTAATGCGTTCTACAATTGCAATTGATGTGACACATTTGAAAGGCAAGTTCAAGGGTATTCTGTTTGTCGTTGTATGCAAAGATGCGAATGAGTGTGTATATCCAGTTACATTTGGCATAGGCCATGTTGAGGACGAAGACTTGTGCACGTGATTTCTTAGCAAGTTGCATGATGCGATTGGTTGTCTTAAAAACACTATGTTCATTTCTAATCAACATCTCAGCATTAAGAAAGCAATCCAAAATGCATACCCAGAAGTACACCACGGTTAATACAGTTACCACTTGAAGAAAAACTTTAAAAACAAGTTCAAGTGTGATGACATTTCTATGATTTTCACCCTTACTCGAGCTTACTATAAGATTTTTTATTTCAACATACATATGAATAAGCTCAAGCAGATTCACGCAGAAGCACAATCTGACCGTATGAGAATAAGCCTTGAGAGATGGGCATGTGCACATTCACAGGCAAGGCGATACCAACTCATGACATCCAACATTGTGGAATGTGTTAACTCATGTTTGAAGTATGCAAGACGAATGCCAATCACTGTTTTGATCGAGTTCATTAAAGACATGTTCCAGTGTTGGTTCTATGATCGGTACGAGGAGGCCGTCAAGGTGACCATGCCCCTCAGCCTTTAGGTTGCCAAGCAGTTAAGCAAACGGTTCAATGATGTACATCTCTTGGTAGTTAAACCTATCAATCGAGTGGAGTTTGAAGTTAAAAACGAGAAAATGGATAGACTTGTAAACCTGTCTAGGAAAACGTGTTCATGTTTTGAGTTCCAAACAGATTTACTGCCATGAAGCCGTTGTAGTAATAAGGTCAGGATATTTTTAATTCTTATTTGAAGCCTAATTGACATAGCATTTACATTGTGCTTGAACATTGAGCTCATTGCATTTTTCAGTAAATGCAAATGTGAAGCCGTAAAATTTTACGTTGACTACTACAAAACAACCATTTTGGTGGAGGGTTATGTAGGGTCCATTCGTTTAGCAGGGCATCTTAGTGAGTGAGACATCCTTCTTCATGCGAAACAAATTGTTGTCTTGCCACCAAGTTGGCGAAGCCCAACGGGAAGACCTAAGAGGAAAAAGATTCCATCAGTTAGTGAAAGCAGTCGAGTACCAAAATGTTCACAATGCAAGAGGTACGGGCATAATAGATAGAATTGCTCATCCCCATTTGCAATTCCATATACAAATTTGGCACCATTTCCAAGTCAATTGGCGTCTCCATGATTGCGACGATCAAAAGCATGTTCAACTTACAAACAAACCGGTCACACACACAACACTTGTCCAATACGAAAGACAATGTCTGAAAACGTAGGGTGACTTGTAGATGAAGAAAGCTTGTCAGCCTAACTAAATGTGTGAGCCAAGTGCAATACCTTTCTCACAATTTCCTCTTGTAGTTTCTTACATTCATTTATATATTATGTTTGTTACTTTCCTCTGGTAGATGAGTCTTTATTTTTTTATTTATTTTGTAGATATATTATTTGATTATTCATTTCATTTTGTTCCTAGTTTTGATTAGTGAATAGACTTGCCAAGTCCCTATACTCTTCAAGTAGATTATTATTGATATGCTTATTAATAAGTTAAATATTTAAGTGTAAAAGATTTATGGTGCTAAAAAAATTATAAAAATATTTTTTACTTGATTATTTAATTCTAAAATTTGTAAATTAATTTATCTTTTTTGCGAAAGTCAAATAAGCAAAATATGTAGATTTAGTTTTTTCTTTTAAAAAAATGAAAAACAGGGATATCGAGTTAATGATGATTATAAAAGCAATTCCTCGTTCTGACTTGCTTAATTTGGACATGATAAACCTCTTATTGCAACCATAGAATCTGAGTTTCACCCTTCCAATTAGTTATTTATTTTTTATGTTTTTATTTTGTTTAATATTTTAAGTTATATATTTTAAGTTGAAATTGCCTAGATTAAAGACTGTATTT